CTTTCTTTCTTTCTTTCTTTCTTTCTTTCTTTCTTTCTTTCTTTCTTTCTTTCTTTCTTTCTTTCTTTCTTTCTTTCTTTCTTTCTTTCTTTCTTTCTTTCTTTCTTTCTTTCTTTCTTTCTTTCTTTCTTTCTTTCTTTCTTTCTTTTTCTTTCTATTTTTGTTTTTCTTTTAGCTGTACTAAAGATATCCTTTATTGCTGCCTACTTCTCACATCTTTATGACCTTAATGAATATCAGCTTTGAGAATGAAGGACAAACAACAACAAAAACATCTCTATGGTCAGGGTTGTCCAGTAATCTTGGCCTTAAGTCCATTTAAATGGTAAGATGTCCCCTAAAAGACTTTTAGGACTTTGCCCTCAATGAGAGAGGTGTGGCTAACAGTAATATCTACTTCCCCTAGGCTAGGTTAAATTTTCTTTGAGAAGAAAAGGAAACTGTCCTTTAGACTGAATTGGCTCAGGAAATGAAAGTCTGAACTTCTAAATAGTTTCTTAATAGTCTAAGGAATAAAAAGCCAAGCCCAAGAGGAGTTGGGGCTCTTCATTCTATTGTTATATGGTTTAGCAATATATCATTTCATTCCAAACCAGAGCCTAAACCACCAGAGTGGCCTTACTCAGAACTCACAGAGCATTCTCTACTATACACACCTTGAAATTACCTTGTCACAGATACATAAACAACCACTAAGAAAAAGTTAATTAATTGATCAACAAGCATTTATTAGGGGCTTACTAAGTGAAAGGAACACTGGACCTTTATATGAATAATGTTTGGAATATTTACATTTTCAGAATATACGAATATCTGTAGATAAGGTGTTAGCACATAGGAAATGTGATAGGGGAAGTACAAATGGGGGCAACACATGCCTTCAGCACTACAAAACTACTGATGTATTCAATAAATGTCATCCCACTGCTCTCAGCTGGCCCCATCCCCCACCATGTGATGTTTTCTGTTGCGCTGGTAGATAAGGTCTCTTCCTATGCCTTAGCTTTGGTTCTGCTCTGAGGTCATGCCTTTGGGTCCTCCACCTAGGGGACGTGAGAATCTTAGTAAACCTCTCTTTGTAGAGAAGACTATAGCTCTCTTCAGCCAGCATTTTCATCCAATATTTATGAAGCCCTCTTCTCCTTATACAGGTTGCCCCCAGAAATATAGATGTCTAAACTGAAACTTATACCCTTCTGGTAATTGTCTCTCTCAATTTCTTTTAACTTAGCTGAACTCTCCAGTGAATTGAACCACTCTGAAATGCCTTGGCTTTTGTTGTCTCTCCCTGGGCCTTTCATTTCCACCACTGGCCAAATTGATCTCAGTGCAACCTCTACCCACTGCTTCTGATTCTGTCCCATGTAGCCAAATAAAACAATTCTGATCTCTCCTCCATGGGACAGCATATCAAATGCTTGAGCACAGTTATCGCATGTCCTACAAGTCTTCTTTTATCCAGACTGCCAGGTGATGCAGTGAATAGAGTGTTGGGCCTGGAGTCAGGAAGACCTCAGTTCAAATCTGGTCTCAGATACTTAGTGTGTGATGGACGGTTGTTGTGATAATCAAATAAGCTAGTATTTGTGTACAGTTTAGTATACTGGTTGGTCTTATATAAATGCTTATTCCCCATCCCCTCCACCTGGCAAAGGTTAAACGTCCCTACTTTCTTCTACCTGTCCTTCTATGGTATGCTATCAAGGTCTTGCCTCTCCTGGTTGCCCTCGTCCACATGTTCTCCAGCTTCTCAATATTATTCCCATCTGTGACCAGATGTGATCTGACCAAGGCAAACTAGCAAGAGGCCACCACATCCTTTTATTTTTTTTTGGAAAGGCCTATGTCTACCTCCATTAAATTCTCTTACCCTTTCTTAGTGCATCTGGCTATCTAGTAAAGCCTATGAATCCCTTTTCAGAGTACTGCTTTTAAATGAATAAAACCAAATACACAGGGTTGTGATGGAAACTGATTACCTGCAAATACAGTTATCAAATTGTTTACAAATACATTTACAATCCTCATGTCAAAAACCCCTTACCTCTACAATGTTTCCTCCACTTGTTCCTTCTTTTCCACATCAACTACCACCACTCTATTTTTGTTCTTCCTTGCCCTTCATCTGTATAATTGGAATTGTTTTTTTTTTCCTGAGCTGTTCCTGTTTCTACTCCATGTAGATATAATATTTGTAAAAGACTTAGCACAATGCCTGAAAATGTAGTAAACATTCAGTAAATGCTTTTTTCCCTTCTATTCCTTCCCTAAAGAGTTACTCATCTCTAGCTGGCTGGTCATATTGTTATGGACACCATGAAGTTTTCACACAGTAGTTTACTGATCATTCAGCAACCTTTTTATGCATCTGTTCTCTGCCAGGCACTGAGCTAGGCCTGGGGAGGCAGGATATAAAGAGAAAATGAAACAGTCCCTACACAGACAGGGTTTATCTTATATTAGGACAAACAACATGTTTCCATTTAAGTATATTCAAAATATGTGCAAAGTTAATGGAATGGAATATTTGGAGGTATATGTGGCACCTTCAATTGGGTGGACCAGGAAAGGAATCAGAGAAGAAGGTCCATTTGAGCTGATCTTTGACAGAAATATGGATGCTAAGGTGTTGCCTTATAAAATGAATTTATTTTCAATTACTGAGAGCTATTTTGTGCAGAAAACAATAATAAATTCTTTGTAGATTTAGAGGGCAAAGTAAAACCAGTTTATATTTTCCTGGGGACACACTGTCTGTCTGGTGAAGTAATGAATTTCCTCAAGTGAGAGGTTTTCATAGAGGGTGTGGAATACCCTCAGGGATTTTAGAGATGTCAGGAATTTTATAGAGAAAATTCATGTCTCAGATGGGTCAGACAAGATAAGTTGTAAATGTGGCCAAATCTAAGTTTCTCCAATTCTATCTCGACAATTTAATTTTGTACAGAGCATCTCTAAAGGCCTGTTTCACCTGCTTGTTTCGTAGAGTATAAATGAAGGGGTTCAGCACAGGGGTTGCCACAGTGTTCACAAGAACTAACTCTCCATGGGTATCTAACCTATTACCTTGCTTTGGTATCACATACATAAAAATAGAGCTTCCATATGTTACTGAGAGGACAATGAGATGGGAAGAGCATGTGGAGAAAGCTTTCTGCCGTTCTTTGGCTGAAGGGAGATGTGCTATTGTTTTTACTATATTGATATAGGATATGACAGATATAACAAGAGAAGACAGAACAATAAGCATAGCGAAAAAAAGGCCCAATGATTCCACCTCACTAGCATCAGAGCATGAGACATGGGTCAGAGGACCCAGATCACAGAAGAAATGATGAATGTTATTAGGTCCACAGAATGATAAGGCAGACATCTTTAATGTCAGACTGAAGACAAGGATGAAACCCAAAATATAGCAGGATACAACCAACAGTATACAGGCCCTCTTGTTCATGATGCTATGGTAATGAAGTGGGTTGCAGATTGCAATGTACCTATCAAGGGATAATATACTCAACAGAAATAAACCTGTTGATGCCCAAAATATGAAGAAAAAGAATTGTGTAAGACATGCTGCAAAGGAGATAGTTTGTGCACCAGAGAAAAAGATGGTCAGGAGCTTGGGAATAATGGTTGTTATACAGCAGCCTTCCAGAAGAGAGAAATTACTGAGGAAGAAGTACATTGGTACTTGGAGACGGTGGTCAATCCATGTGAGGATGACAATGACTGTGTTTCCCGTCATGGATATCAAGTATAGCACTAAATGGATGGCAAAGAGGAGTGTGCCCAGGTGCTGGACAGCAGGGAAGCCCTCCAGGATGAACTCCTCGACCCTTGTTTCATTGCTCTTCTGCATCATCTTCCCTCTTTGACCTGTACAACCAAAAACAAATCATATCCAATAAAGAGTAATAGGCAACTTTAACTATTTCTCCAATGTTGTTATATATTTTAAACTAATGTTATAATTAAATATGAATGCAACAGGAGGGAATTTATGCAAATGAATAGAAAAGCTGTCTTGATTAAAGAAGTCAGAATTGATTAAATTCATTAATCCATAAGTTAGAGCTTCCCAAAACATAAAAATAACTCTGAATAACCTTGAAACCTCCTGTCTGGCCCCAATGTGAGAGACCTTTATTTGTCTAATTTGTCTAATTCAAATTTAATTAACATTGAGTGAATTTAATAGATAAAATGATAATTATCTCCTAGGTTTTAAATACTTTTGTTTCATATTTTTAAATACTATAGAGGGACCCATTAATGTTATTATTTTTTAGTATTTCATGTTTTTAAAAGGACCTAAATGATCACATTTCCAAAATTATAAAAGATTTTTAACAAAAAGTAGCATAGTAGAGGGGATAGAGAGCCAGCACTGAATCAGGAATTACTAGATTTAAATCCTGCCTCTGACACATACTGTCTGTGACTTGAAGAAAGTCTGTGACTTTCCAACATGGTTGGAAAATGTGTTCAGTTTTGATGAAATGACAGTGACAAGGTCGTAAAGGTAATGGTGAGCAATAGGACCTGAATGTCCAGAAACACAGAGGATGATCTTTCTGGTTGGCATTACACAATTTACCCCAATCTGCCTGAACATGAATGCAGTGAGAAGATGACTCGCAAAGTTTCTATTTAGACTGAAGTTGCCTTGGCTCAAGGAGAGCAGGGTGCTTGCCTCTTTCAACTCTCTAAGACTGAAAATCAGTAACTCATTAAACATTTATTAAGCACCTAATAAGTGCCAGGAATTGTGCTAGGTGCTGGGGATAAGGAAAAAAAGGCAAAAGACAGACTCTGCCCTTAAGGAGCTCACAGTGTAATGGGAAAGAGAACAAGCAAACAAATTTATACAAACAAGTTCTAAATAGGATAAATAGGAAATAATTAAAAAAGGGAAGACACTCAAATTAAGAGTGGTTGGGAAAGGCTTCCTGTAGAAGAGTCAAACACCCAGCCTACCTGCAGCCCAGGAACCAGATTCAAATGTAATCAAGAAGTAATTAACAAAATAAGTAAAAATTCAATAAAACAATTCACATTGCATCTAAAAAAGTAAATCAATATGCAGACTACAGGAAACTGTTATGTATGGATTAATGGTCCTTGTTTCTCTTTAAATTTGACACAACTGCGTGTAGAAGATGGGATTTTAATTTCGATTTAAATGTAGCCAGGGAAGCCAGTAGGAGATGGCTGAGGAGAACATTCCTAGTCTCCCTAGATAACTAGGGAGAACAGGCCTTGGGGGCAGTTAAAGAAAATGCCAGGGAGGCAAAAACTCACACTGAGTGACTTACTGAAGCCTACTCATTCAGTGAGTTGCATATCTGACCTCTAATTTTTTCATGCAACTGCCAGTATTCTGTCCACTGCCCTATAGTGTCTTTTGTCTCAAGGAAGTGTTCTTATCCTATACACCAAAACCTATAAGTAACGTAATCATTTCATTCCTGTGTAAGAATATCATGTAACCCAAATAATCACAATTCTTCCTAGTAAGGATACATTCAATAGTCTTTCTCTAGTCTGCAGAAATTGTTTTTTTTATTTAAAAAAATTGTAGATTTATAACTAGAAGGGACCTCAGACATCATGTAATTGAACCTCCTTTTCACATATGAGAGACGATTGATACCCCCAAAAGTTAAATGACTTGCTCACAGTCTCATAAATAGGAAGCAGCACACCTGGGTTGTGAAACAAAGTCTTCCAGTTCCAAATCCAGTGTCATTCCCCTTTGCCTAAGCCACCCATTGATAATTTGCTACTATTCAATTTACCTTGTTCATCAGAAGTTCTACTAAGCCCCGAAGATCGGCCCATCCTATGCTCAGGCTAGAATAATAAACATGAAGGGAATCTTAGCTAAAAATTATCTACTCTAATCTCCTCATTTCACATGGTCGGATAATGTGTTCAGTTTTGATGAAATAATGGTCACAAGGTCATAAAGGAAATGGAGAGCAATAGGACCTGAATGTCCAGAAACACAGAGGATGATCTTTCTGGTTGGCATTACACAATTTACCCCAATCTGCCTGAACATGAATGCAGTGAGAAGATGACTTGCAAAGCTTCTATTTAGACTGAAGTTGCCTTGGCTCAAGGAGAGCAGGGTGGTTGTTTTTTTTCCCCCCTCTCACATCTCTTTCTTTTTTTGCATTGGGAAAATGCAGCTTCCCATTTTGAAAATGTAAGCCAAATCATCTTATGTCCCCCTTTTGACCTAATTATATTAATGTTAAACTGTGTGTTATGAAATGACAATAAGATGAGAAATGAATTTGTTGGGGCAGCAGCCTCTGAACTTGTTGCATTGCAGAATTATAATTGACCAGTGATGTCACAGCTCAGACCAAAAGTATAAGCACTTTTTGATGCCTTAGTACAGAGGGTAGGAAAGAGTACATAAACAAGTCAGCCTGAGGGAAGGCACTCACACAGAGGCTGGTTCCAGGAGTTAGAACTTACTGCTTTAATCTACTGTCAGGTAAAGTGCTTTTCTTGAATTGAGGCAAATGGAAAAGGAGCAAACCCTTGCATTTGAGATGCTCTTATGTTGGTATGACAGTGACATAAAACATATCTTCTAGACATTCAAGGCTAATGACGGCCATTTTTTCCAGTCATTCCCACAAATCCAGAGTTGTTTATAGTTCTTGAAGAGAACTAAATCACAGAGTTTTAATCATATGGCAGCATCAACATTTGGATTCCCAAGATAGCTCAAAACCAACAGTTCAAAATCTCTGAGTTTTGATTGGAAAGACTGGCTCACCCACATCCTAAATGTCTTCCTTTCTCGTCTGTTCAGCTGAATTCCCAGTGTATTCAGTCAATATTCTTCACTTTATATCCCCCCCCCCCCCCCTTATTCTGTGATCCCATAAAACTGAACTCCTTACTATTCCTGAACAAGATGCCATGTTTCCCAATTCAGGGCATTTTCCCTGGTTATTACCCATGTCTGGAATGAATCCCCTGCATTTCTGTATATCATAACTAAAGCTTTTTCTAGTCCCTTTAATTCTAGTGCTTTTCCTTTGTTGATTATCTCTAATTTATGCTTCCTATATCTTGTTCGTAGGTAGCTTTTTCATGTCCCCCCTCCCCCGTTAGTCTGTAAGCTCCTTAAGGGTACAGACAGTTCTTTACCTATCTTTATGTCATCAGTATCTGGCATGTTATATAGGTACATAATAAATGTTTACTGACCCACTGACAGACTGACTTTATGGAAAAGGGATGACCTAAAATCCAACTTACATCACTGTTCCTAAATTTACAATCTTAGCTTTGCTATTTCTCTATCCTTAATTTGTTTATTATCAGCCTCTTGTATTGTCTTGTGTTTTATCTTCCATCTATCCTCCCTCTAGGTAGCCATCTCTATTGAATCCTCTCTTGTAAAAAGTAAAGCAGGTAAATGAAAGTGACAAAATGGTCATGCCTGAGAATATGTGTGGGGCAGCCAGTTTGTACAGTGAATAGAGTGCTGGGCCTGGAGTCGGGAAGACTCATCCTCATGAGTTCAAATCTGGCGTCAAACACTAACTGTGTGGCCCTGGGTAAGTCACTTAACCCTGTTTGCCTCAGTTCCTCATCTGTAAAATGAATTGGAGAAGGAAATGACAAACCTCTGTAATACAATTGCCAAGAAAATCCCAGATGGAGCCATGAAGAGGACACAACTGAAATGACTCAATGACAGCAACAACAATGAGAATATATACAACATTTCATATACACAGCCATAGCTCCTCCAGTGAGGCACATGAAAAATACTTCATCATCTGTTCTCTGATACCAGATTTTAAAAGAATAATAAGTAACCCTTGGTTATAGCATAACCAAGGCAAATTTCCTTTTTTAAAATATTTGTGTAACCACATGGGACAAACTGTTGGAGATTCTAAATCTGAACTCTTTACAGCAAGAGTCTCTGAAGTGGATTAGAGAAATCAAAGGCTCTTAAACCCTTTGTGAAACCAGAATCAAAATTATGACAGTGGGATTTGAGGTAATGGGAAAAGGTGAGATAGGGTATTGAAACTGTGTAGAATAATATATCTAGAGAATTGATCCTGTAACTAATTGATGCATTGCCAGCAGATGACTGAGATTGAAATAGATCAACTAGAGTCTCTTAAAAAAGGAAAATAGTAAAACATATTGGAATACTAATATAACAGGCATAAAATTTAATAGGACTATTCTGTTGCTCTCATAATCCATCTTTTTGTCTTTCTAGATTATGAGTCTGAAGGTAGGATATCAGAAATAACCTCAAAGTCTATGAACATGAAGCATATAGCTCCTCAACCAGGGAGAAGATGCCCTTTTAGAAATGAAGGGAGTTTTCATTCTGCTATGGTTGGGACAAATGGTATGAACCCTCAGGGGACATGTAATGGCAAAATTTGTTCATCATATGTCATGGACACCAAAGAAACAGTGCTGAAAAAAACCAGTTCATTATTGTGGCCCCCAGTGAACCTAGTACAAAGAAGTTGGCTGAGTGATTTAAAAAAAAGCTTTCCTTGATTGCCACTGTGTTCTTTAATTTGTTTTCTATTTTTGATTTATTTTTAATCATTCAAAATATGCCTTCTCTGTCTCACTTCTTTTCACTAACTGAGAATACAAGAAAAAAATGACCAACACATATAGTCAGTTAATTAAGTTTCTACTTTCCTCATGTCTAAAATAATATTTATCTTATTCAGCATTCTAAATTCTTCACCACTCTATCAGGAGATATGAGGTAGCACATTTCCTTGTTAGTACTCTGGAATTTTGGTTGGTCATTACTCTCGTAAAAGATCAGCACAACAGTCTTCC